TCCAAAGGGTGCTAACAATCATTATTTTGTGTCAGCCAGGTACGAAAGGCTTTAGAAATCGGATAAGTCAATGGAATAGGATTAAGAGAGAACTGGGACGTTCATATAATTGATAGTAATGAAAGATCGTGATGGGGGAGGACGAGGGGGGGGGAGTCAGACAGTTTATAGAAAATGGGAAATAGGAAATGAGAAAAGATCAAAATACCGCAAAAGATATGAGTAAGGACATGAATGGGAAATAGGAAATCATATAAAGGTTTACAAATTACCAACAAAAGAATGTGCACTGTATGGACATGATTGCGATCAAAAGGAGGTCAGACAACGTATGAATCGTTATTTTATCAGTGAACCGTAGAGAATAGTGTATTTTCAGGATCATACTTTCGATATAGTGGTAAGGATTACATTGTAATTACCAACATTGTTTAAAGTATTGAATGTGCACTGTATGGTTTAGGTCTCCTTGGCAGTGCTGCAATATAGAGCTGCCTACAGTTGCCCAAATGGTGCAACTACAAACAAACGCTGCAACAACTGAATGTAGGAGACATCAGTACTACTCCTCCGTCATTTAGTTCCATTTATAGCTATGGTCTAGCAGGGCACATAGTAACTGGCCAATTAAAGAAAAAGATTTACGAGGACGAAATAAAAAAAAAAGCGACCCCCCGGGGTTTCTGGCAACTCGCCAGTCCTTATATGTTGAGGTTGAATATAAGAGGTTGGGTGCCATTCATATGAGCAATATTTTGTACTAGAAATCTGTCACAGATAACATCCCATCTTACTTCCAGTACAGCAATACCCTTGCTACTTCCATTCAATTGCATCCAAACTGTTCAAACTTTTACAATTATAGAAGTAGTGACAGTAGAGACAAATAATAAATTCAAATGCATCATACAGCTGTTTCGTCCTTCTAGGACTAGTCAGTGATGCTACATCATACAGCTGTTTCGTCCTTCTAGGACTCGTCATTGATGCTACATCATACAGCTGTTCTGTCCTTCTAGAACTCGTCAGTGATACTACATCATACAGCTTTTTCGTCCTTTTAGGACGTGTCAGTGATGCTACATCATACAGCTGTTTCGTCCTTCTAGGACTCGTCATTGATCCTACATCATACAGCTGTTCTGTCCTTCTAGAACTAGTCGGTGATGCTACACCATACAGCTGTTTCGTCCTATAGGACGCGTCAGTGATGCTACATCATACAGCTGTTTCGTCCTTCTAGGACGCGTCAGTGATGATACATCATACAGCTGTTTCGTCCTTCTAGGACGCGTCAGTGATGCTACATCATACACATGTTTCGTCCTTCTGGGACGCGTCAGTGATGCTACATCATACAGCTGTTTCGTCCTTCTAGGACGCGTCAGTGATGCTACATCATACAGCTGTTTATTCCTTCTAGGACGTGTCAGTGATGCTACATCAAACACCTGTTTCGTCCTTCTAGGACGCGTCAGTGATGCAACATCATACACCTGTTTCGTCCTTCTAGGACTCGTCATTGATGCTACCTCATACAGCTGTTCTGTCCTTCTAGAACTCGTCAGTGATACTACATCATACACCTGTTCTGTCCTTCTAGAACTCGTCAGTGATGCTACATCATACAGCTGTTTCGTCCTTCTAGGACTCGTCATTGATGCTACATCATACAGCTGTTTCGTCCTTCTAGGACTCGTCAGTGATACTACATCATACACCTCTTTCGTCCTTCTAGGACTCGTCAGTGATGCTACACCATACAGCTGTTTCGTCCTTCTAGGACTCGTCAGTGATACTACATCATACAGCTGTTTCGTCCTTTTAGGACTCGTCAGTGATACTACATCATACAGCTGTGTCGTCCTTCAAGGACTCGTCAGTGATGCTACACCATACAGCTGTTTCGTCCTTTTAGGACTCGTCAGTGATGCTACATCATACAGCTGTTTCGTCCTTCTAGGACTCGTCAGCGATGCTTTCCGCTTAAAGTTTGCAAAATAGGAGAAAAATCCAAAGTGATCGTACGAAATGAAAAAATCTGGATTGTGGAGTGTTCAACCTCCGTAATTCAATAAAATTCGTAATCTTCATACACCGCATAATATCAGAAGAACGTTTATCATAAGTGTATTTCTTAAATGTGCCACAATTCGAATGGATTAAAACGTAGCAATCATGTTACGGCAAACGTCAGGGATTAAATTTCTAGCAGTAGTGGCTACAACATGCAATTTTAAAGATAAGTATTAAATCTTGATAAACGTGTTTAGAATATCTTACTTTTTATGTCGTATTCTTCGTTAAATGTTTTGTATAGATATGCTTTTAAGTAAAATCACATGCATTTGTACAGCACAGCATTCCCCTATTCTTGTCGTCTTTCATTTAGAATTCTGTTCGGAAAGTATTTTTTGTGTTGATAACTTTATAATGTACTACCTTAGACCATGCCACAGCACCAACATCGAGTGACAAATCAATAAAACCCATTTATATACATATTGTAAAACCGGAAACAGAAATAAGTTTACAGTGAACACGAATAAGATATGTAGAGATAAATGTTTGGTTTGATCTGATATTTTTTTTATTCACATTTACTATTTAAACAAATTTTGTCATTTCGAATAGTTTGATGTTAACAGCTTTAGAAAGGCGACAGAAACAACACAATCTATAAAAAAGTGACAGATTTAATAAATTAAAAGTTTTGATGTAAGAAACCACTAATGCTGATTTAATCGACAATTTTATAAAACGTGTTTATATACATACGTAAGTTAGGGTGTCTTCATTTTGACGACGCGATAAGCCGTGCGTATAGTTTAGACGTAACGTCCTTATCAAAACAAGATTACTCTAAACTTAGACCGATCAATTTCATCTTTATCACGGAATATATTTAGGCACGGGACGAACCCAGATAACGGCTGGGTACAAAGACATTTTGATCCGGGGAACCGGTGACCCCGAGAAATGACCCCGCCCTCTAGCATTCATTTTGAGGGAGGTCCATAGCAGGCTACCTAGGGTTTCAGTAATGTGCAAACAAGGGATACCTACCCCACATTTAATTTCCAAATACCAGAGAAATAAAACTATGGAGGACCTTGGTTGTGTACAAACTATGAGCAAAACAATGACATTGCATGGACAGGAAATCAGCACAAATTCACAAAATTGTTACTAGAAGCTTTTTACGATTTCTAATTTTGTCAACTTTCGGATAAAACATTCGCCCCTCTTTATTGACACAGTGGTGTCAGTTAGACGAAAACACGTGTAGCTATTTACCCTAAAAAACATTCAAAGGAATGATTAACCTGGGAAGACGGATCTTTTAAAACTTTATTTTTTTTAAAGAGACCGAGTGCATTCGTTACCTTTGCCTATACCCAAACACATTCCTTATTTGGTGTTACTGTGTCTTATTTTAAACTTGAATTGGAAGGTGTTATAAACTTTGATATAAAAAAAGTATAGTGTTTTAAATGAACAATTGAGTAATCGATTTATCAAACGCAATAGCTCATTAATTATCTCTAACGACGTTGGTTCCAGAATGAACGCGAATTAAGAAGAAAAAATAAGTAATTTATTTCATGATAAAAATTATTGGATTAGAGTCAACATCTATCAATTTCTAAAATTTATTTCTAAGATTCAATACTTTAGACCGCAAGCATTGCTGTCTAATCATTGAAGAGCAATATAACTGTATGACGTATTTATTTTTTTGTCAAATTTCGCTGTGTTTATCTAATTCTAAAATCGTATTGAAAGGAACTGTATTCTTCTTTGTATTTTTTAACAAACCTTCGATATCAAAAGAGATGCTGTCTGCTTCAGTTTACCGTAACATGGTGACAACTTTTTAAGTCATTCGTTTAGTTTAATTCCGCCGTCTTTCTAAATCATTAAATATTACAAGTATGCATTTTTGCTCTCTTCTGCCTGACAGGATTTCGCATTTTATTTGGACCAATCATGATCTTCCTCGGTTGCTTCACGGTTTTAAACAGTTTATACCTATATCACTGACGAATCCTAGAAAAATGGCACAATTGTGTGATGTTGTTTTATTCATTTATTTTTATCTATGTACATTTTTGTACATTTTTTTGAAGACGGTTGTTATTAAAACCGAACCTGCAAAGTAGGAAAAAAATAAAATAATATATGATTTAATCACTCAGGGACGCAGTTAAAACGCAAAAATCTTATGAACATCAGATACGAAAAAGCAACTAAATAGACAGGAAGATTATGTGAATCAATACTAGAATTAAGTCGAAATTTTGATGTAGGGTAATTGTGAAACTATGGCAACGGAATATAAGATAAAAGGTTTTAAGGCGTTACGTATTCTGAAAGTGGCATAGATTTGGATTTGTTTAAACTATACTATAGAATCATTATTGAGAAGATATGTATTTTCCAAAATTAATTAAACACAACTGTATAATGCAGATGAATGAACAATGCTATCAAACAACTGCCTATACTATGACCGCCTCAACTATTTCAATATACTGCAAAATCATATTTTTTCGTGGTGTTCAATTTTCCTGATTTTTTCCAAATAAATAGTATTTCGTGGACTCTTGGTTTCGCGGATGAACATATCCGACATAAATCTACTTGCACTAAATTTAACTGCTTATAGATATATGAATTCATATATTAAGAGTACACCCGAAATCTACGAAAATAAATCCTCACAAAAATTAATTGTTTTACAGTTTGTACAGATAATTCACAGTATACAAATTGAATACCTGTAAACTCTCTAGCCTATGTGGCAACGATAGTATGAAGACTTCCCCTGTGGTGTGTACGAGCCTCCGTAGTTTCGTGAATCATCTCCATATACGAAACCATTGGCTACTGTGACTTTGTAACTTTTTTCTCTTGTCAAGTTCCGGTGTGAAATGTTTAAAGATGTCGGGTTAATTCTGATAACAGTGAGACTACAACTGATGTAAGATTAGAAGAGGATGGCGGACATGGATTTACGGACCGTCGGTGTATTTTTCGCTTGCTTTTTCGGAACAATTTCAGGTTAGTTTTTATTTAAAAGTTTTGTTATATAGATATCATGACGTACGAAAAAAAATCGTATTTAAATATAATTTTACTTTTGAAAAAAAAGATATCAAATTAATAATTAATCAAAATAGTGAAAAAACATCATTTCAGATAAAAAAGTTGACATCTAACCGTTTTGGAAATTTTGGCAACTGCAGCCACATTTCTCCATTTAATAAATAATCACACAGTAGATGTTTTGGAGGTAAGTGATACAGATAGGAATCAAAAGAAATTATTTATTAATTCATATAGCCGTCGATGTTTCACCCGTATAGCTGGAGAACAAAATTTCGGAAATTCGAAATGCACTTAAGAGAATACTAATTATTTCATTGTAGGATTTGAAGTGTATTATCACAGCACAGTTAGTATTTGATTGTTTCAGAATATATTAATTTTGTAAAATTGTTATAAAGAATGGATGTGTGTTATATCAAACTTCTGAAAATCGAGCAAAAATACGGCAATACGGCATTGTTATTGCAGTCTATCAGAAGTGACCATGATCATTAAAGGAGATACAAAAGAAAATGATGTATGGAAACTCGTGAGCTATCATGATGCCATAATTTGTTTCCTGGTCGACATGAAAATCTTCTGTCTCATAGTAATAATATTTTGGCGTATGAATTAAACAAATGAGAAAAAAGGCAACTAGTGAATTCCGCCGAATCATACAGTTTTTCGTCCTTACAGGACATGTCAGTGAGTAATTAAATTTTATATCATGTTTCATATCAAAGTGATTTATGAAAATTATATATAAAAAAGTTATATGACTAACAGGATATCAAAACATAGAACTCGTTTATAAATCCATCTTGCTATATTTATATATATATACATATATTGAAGAATATTTTTATGATATCATGTTGATTACCAGTTTGATGTTACATATAACCACACTCTTATGAACAATGCCAGTTTTTTAATCAACAACAAGAGACAATAATCACATTCAACATATATAATAAATTTAGTTGGATAATACACCCGTTCGTCCTTCTAGACCTCTTCATTGATGCTGATGCGGCGATACCTAAAAGTTTGCTGACGATATTCCAAAATAGTCGGTCGAAATGTCAATCCCTGTGATTGTATAAATTTCATAAGTTTCAAACATCGAAAGAACGATAAGACCATGTGAATAGGTTTAGGTTATTAAACAATTTATCAGTCTTGTAATTATTTATGTTGTATGTTAATTTTGAATTCTGATTTCGTTGGTGACATGAATTTTCGTGAAGACACAAACTAATCGCGAAAATCCTTGCGCTTCGATGGCGAGTTTTTCCAAACATTTGAAATACGTTTTAATTCGATATGATATTTATATTTCATTGTGTTTTTAAAGCTCATCACTTTGTTCCCTTCATGAATGAAATATTAAACAATCTATATTAGTTTAAACTGTATTTTATTTTGTGAAATGAGTACAGTACAAAAGCAAATATGCATTTTGGATTCAGAAACAAGTACAATGTACTTATATTAATCTGTCTCCGTATCTAATTACATGAGCAATGGACAGCACTGACAACATAATGTAATTAAGTAGGTGCATAAGTACAGGGAAGGGGAAAAGAAAGGGTGCATGGGTTCAAAGGAGGAAACCGTTGTAGGATGACGAAGCAAGAGTTTAGGACTGTTATAGATCTATATTTGATTGTGGTTCACTCAACAAAGTACAATATACCACGACCAGGTCAGTACTGTAATTGAGATTACTTCGTAGTATACACAAACTCACTAGATACGCTAGAGCTTAATTAAAACGTTTAGAACGGTTAATAAAGTTTTGGACACAGTCAAAAATATTTTCATTGTACTGATCTGGCATATTAGGGTTACCATATAATAAGGTATTAACATTAATGTCGGGGGGTATGTTACTGAAGCATTGAATTCTGATATGATGGTAGTTAGGGCACTGGAGGAGGAAGTGTTCAGTAGTTTCGTCGGACTGGTTACATGAACATAGAGAGTTGTTAACAAGATTACGAGAATATAATCTATATTAATTCTAGGACTTTTATTTGGGTGTTTGGATGCAGAGGAAGAAGTGGTAGGTTATGCATGTCTACTTGTCGTTTTGACATGTCAATGCTTTTGGTGTTGTATTTTGAAAATTTATAAATAACATTATGATTAAAGTCTTGTTGAACATGATCTCGTTATCCTACTAATATCATGAACTATATAAACAGTGAATGTATCATTTTTATAACTAAAACATGACATTCGTATCTTTATAGGCCTTTATAGGCGAGAATATATTTTTCATTATGTAGTGTTGAATTAATCTTGAGAATTAATCTTCAACAATTAAATCAATCAAATTATGCATGTCCATCACCATGATGTATGAGTCTATAGCACGCGTATTTCATTTTAAACGTTGATGTCATTAAAGATTTGTTTGTAATGTTACTTTGGTATCATTATTCTTGAGGCTGTTTCTTGTTTTTGTTTTCCGTTTTTCCGTGATGGGTCCTAGAAGGGAGAAACAGCTGTTTGATCTAATCTAATTAATTGTTCGGTTCTACAGTATCAAACTCTAAATAATAAATGGTGTTTGTTCACTTGTGCGTCTTTTGTACAACCTTAAACCCATTAAAAAGCTCTAAACTTTAAATAACATTTTCAATTAGCACAAAAAGAAGATGTATATTAAAAGTACTTCATATTCACAAGCAAAAGATGCACATTGCTTTGTTTTATTTCTGTTTTATTTAAGGTATTAGATAAAAATCGGGATTATATGCCCACAGGTTGTTTAAGTGACACACACGTGAATATCATCTTTCAGAATAAACTTGGAACTAGATACAGCTGAGCTAAGTAACGAAATCGATTGCATCACATAGTTATTTCGCCCTTCTATGAATTAACAGTGGTGATAAGGGTCTAAATATTGAAACCTAGGTGAAAGACGAATGGCAATCAGAGTTACAGAGACATGTAATGATAAAACGATATCAGCATGACGTCTTTAGAATTATGTAATTATTGGCATGATTCACGGGGATGATAAGATTTTGAATGACAAGGGATGACTAACTGCTTTAAATAAGGATAGTTTGCGGTTTCGGAAAATTTATAACCAATAGTTATTTTCTTCTACGCATATAAGAACATTCTTTCTTCATAGCCAGATCTAGCACATGACGTGTTACATACCATGAAACATGTATAGTCATGATGAAAGCCGTCCAAAAAGGTTTATTCAAATTTCATGAAAATTGCATGTTTCATAAAATAAAAATCTCTCTCCCTCCCCCCCCCCCCCCCCCTCCCCCCCCGTCTCTCTCTCTTTCTCTCCCCTCCCCCTCTCCCTCTCGTCCGCTCGCTCAATCTCTCAGTCTCCCACTATTACTAGGCACGAGGAAGTCTATTGATTTGTTACAGATCTAGTGTATTGCGACGACAGATGGTCAAGTTGTTTTCTTACTATAAAATATTAATCAACATTGATACAGCTGTTTCCATCACTGCCGAATACAGGTGGCATGTTATTCCGACAATGGCAGTGCCATTGGAAGGATATATAACAATTATTGCCCTTCCCATAACCATGACCTATTGCAACCTTATATTGTTACCAGCAATAATTATAATTTTCGTCATAATAGTTTATTCGATTCATTCAACCGGATCCAGAACACACTCATATATCAAAAGGTTCTTTCCTTTCCTTATGGCTGAATGGAAGGACCATACCTGTCTGTTTAATTCTATAACATCGATCAGAAATTTAAAGAAGGAATTTTTAAATTTATGATAATCTCAATTTACAATCCTTACATGTTGATATCTTCAAATATCATGGCAATACAAAACTTTATATAATATTCTGTCAACTTAGAACTGACTTGCGTCATTCTCATATAACTGGTAGCTCTATTTGCTTGTGTCGTTATCCAAATGAAAATTGTAACCACTTTTTTCTTCGTTGTCCTCTATAGACTAACGAAGGGAATGCCATGCTGTATTCCATCTCAGACCTAAATAATACTATTCCACTAAGTACCCAGACGTTTGCGGTCTTTAAATAAGTAATACTTGATATGAATGAATTTGTGTTATATATTGTATAGAAATACATCAGCCATACCTGACCAAATAGGTGACAACAATTAAAAAAAGATTACTGATAGTAATTTTAATATGCCAATTATCGTGCAAATAATGAATGCTTTTTGTTATTTACTATACATGTACCCGTATTAATACATGTAGGTTCTGTCAGTTAAGTAATGATTTCTACCTTACTAGCTAATATTTCGTTACATTACCTCACTTATTGTCTATTATGAATTTGAAATATTAAGACATATTTCTCTTAATCTTTTTTTTCAGATTCCAAATAATCAATTGTATTTTTATATAAGTATTCTTAATAGTGATATGCATTGACGTGTATATACTGTTAATGTTGTAAGGAGAGAGTAAGTATAAGCATTGTCAGTTGTCCGATCCAAGATGTACTTTTATTTGTTCAATAAAAATATTTTGAAAGATATCTCTCAATTTCTCTTTCTTATGAGAGTGTGGAATAATGTCACTTCATATTAGTAATTTCCCATTTTTAATTTCTTTCCATATATGTATGTGTGTGATTAACATTGATAGGTTAGGACGTTGGATATGTTCTATAAATTGTGCCCAATCCTGTTGTTATTGAAAGTTTTGGCAAAAAAAAAATGCATGATGCAGTTTTCTTCATTGTTCGACTTTACTGTATCTAACTCTAAATTTTATTGAAGGGTTCCATTCATTTTGTGTATTGTACAATATTGTGTTAACAAAAATACAACTCTCTCAGCAGCAAACATCTCAGTGGTATATGTTTGTCTATTAGTAGTGAGCATTTATCATGTAATACGTATTTGGTTACGTGTCTCTTGTGTAAGTTCTTTGAAAAAGGGCACCAGAAAAGACGAGCTTGTCTATTAAATGTTTGATAAATATTGACAATTTGTAGTGTGAAGAACATTGGCAATATGGGGTCAAATAAATAGACGTTTAGACAACCGAATCCTTTACACCAAATATTTGTAAATGTGGATAAAGGCATGACCCGGAACATACAGGTGATCTTGTGTTGCGGTATTCTTTGACTACCGACCTGATGACATGAAGGCCTAACAACCTCCTAGCGTGGTAGCAATGTCGTCCTATGATTGACGGCCAGGATCCACGTTACCGCAACTGAAACAGACACATGTTAAGTCAGTATACATAGGAATTTATGAAAGTGAGCTGTGTTAAAAGTGATACTGATGTTCAAAGCAGAATTTTTAGCATTGAATAATTGTTTCATATTATTCATTATTTCTTTATTATATTTCTGTTTCAAATTATTATCTAGTAATTTATTTCATTTCTTAAATAAATAATGTTTTCTTCTTTCTTTTTTTTTTATTTAATTTTTTTTTATGGATTTATAGCTCATGCGCTGGTCATTTTTGATGTTTTTTTCTCGTAGGACACCTCACTGAATAACATTTGGGAGGCCCGTCGAGCAATTAATGATAAAGTATCCTGCCTAATGTTACAATCACGTCAGCACGCATTGACGTCCCCATCCCCCCTCCCATTTTTCTTCCTCGCAACAGTTAGAGACGTCGAAGCGCTACCCTAAAACTTTTACTAACATGATGTAGACCAATGCTCTGCCCACTGAGCCATCGCCACCTCAAGATCTATAGAATCTATTGTATAAATTATAAATCAAACAGTGATTGATTTTGCACTACATGTCCATTACAAGAAAACACGATAGCATGACTTTACAGCGATATCCATGTACAAAGGCCAATTTCATATATTTTCTGAAATCTAAAACATTTAATCGCCTCTACTACAGCGAAATTATACTTCTCGCGAAGGTTACCTCTGTGTTAGACATTGGTAGAGTCTTTCTAATGTTCGTAAACTATGACACATGTTTTGCTGCACTTGAATCAAACAAACAACTCATTCTGCACGCGGTCACTACAACAAACACATAACAAACCTATTAAACACATGAGTTTTATCCTCAAAAGAATAACATCGTCTTAATACTAACGATCTAATGAGCATTTTGTTTCTCGACTCATAAAAAAATCCCTTTCTACAAAGTTTGACGGTGTATCCATTAAAGGCGCCCCAATGTCCTATCTACACCAGTGTCACAAACACTAGGTGACGAGTATAACAGTCCTCCCATCAGAAGGACGACACACTTAGACTGCATCACCGGTACAGAAACCTGTCCCTCCCTATAGACTATGAGCAATTCCTTGATTACGTAAAATTCCTGATCAGACCGGAAAATTTAGCTTATCAACCCATCAGCAGTACATTATAGTAAACCTCTTGTAAATTTATAGTCGGATGGCAATGTCAACAGAACTTCTTACAAGTGAAAGTGTAGAATCATCTCGGAGATTACACCTTAACTTTAATCAAATCTTAAATGTCATGTGATCTTGGTCTGGTATTCCAACATTCAGGGGTACTTGTTATTACTTTCGAAATTTTCAAATACCTTGTTTTACAATCGCATTTGCACATAAAGCATCGCTTTGGCCCTTATAAACAACAATTTTACTTTGTTTTTTTATTTTGTTTTGTTTTTATTTTATTATTTTCGTTAACTCAAAACCATGATTTAGATACGCGAAAAGAATGCAGACTTGTAATTTTAATTCAAAATCGACGACGCCCATCGAAAACAGTACAATGGACACAAAGACCAGAGGATCCGAAATGATAAACATTTTCTACCCTACTGATGACTTTTTCCCGTCATTTATATGTATATCTAGTAATGTCACGTTTCGTCTTCTGTACAATGCCAACATCGTATTTGTTATCATGACGTTATAGATTTCAGCTTGTGGAGCCTTTATCAAGTTAATCATATAATATTTCATATTAAAATTTATCTGTCGTCGATGAAGTATAAGACGCTTATTCTTTCGGAACACATGAAACATGATCTCACTCTTAAACTTTCGTGCAAACCTTCCTTTAGTTCATGTATTGCTCTGGCTCCATTAATTATAGATTAGAATTAAGATTAAAATGATGTTCATTATTATTTTTTATTTTATTTGTTTTGTTTTTTTTTTTGTTTTGTTTTTTTTTTCTGTTTTTTTGTTTCTTGGTTTTTTATTTGTTTTTGTTCTTGTTTTTTGTTTTGTTTTTATTTCTTTTTTTTTCTTTGTTCGTTTGCTTTTGGCTTGAATCTTAGGTTTAATTATCATACATCTTTGTTTCAGTAAGTAAAGCATACTTAATTTGATATATATATATGTGAATGTTTCGGGTTCATATTTCATTTCTTTTATAATCATTTCAGCGCAATGCGCAGATAAACTAGTGTTTGACAGCGGAAGTACACCAAAAACAGGGGTCAAGGTCACAACATCTTCAGAGTACGGAGCGAATGACCCCAATCACGTGTATGGCCCTTCACGTGTTTTTCTTAACGCTAAAGAAGAAAAAGATGCATCTGGTCACACTCTTCTCGGGGGCTGGTCAGCAGCAACACTAGACACAAAACAATATGTACAGGTAAGGAGCGTCCGTCAGGATACTTAACGTTCAGTTAACACAGTAGAAATGACATTTATTTTATGCATTAAAACATTTAACCTTTTAACCTTTCTTAACGTTTTGTGGGCGTATTAACAGTTCGTTAGTATACCTGTTGGTGTAGAAGACGCCTGCTTCTCCGTAATAAATTGGCTAATTCTCCGTGTATGAGTCACTTCATATAATGTTAATAATAATAGTTTTATTGAATTTGAGTTGGATTCTGTTGACATGTTGATATTTCTTTTATTTTTTTTTGCCGGCGTTACAGGTGCCAAACTTTCGTTGCTGTTGGCAATGTTTCGTTTTTGCCGACATTAACGGTACATATATTTGGCTGTTTCTGTTGTTTTATTTTTCCGATATTTGCCGGTGTTCGCGGTGCCGGTGTTGCCGATATTTGCAGTGCCGATGTTTCGTTATTGCGAATGTCCGCAGTGTCGATGTTTCGCTGTTTCCAATTATCGTGGTGCCGATGTTGTCGATATTTGCGGTGCTAATGTCTCGTTGTTGGCAATGTTTCGTTGTTGCCGATATTAACGGTACATATATTTGGCTGTTTCTGTTGTTTTATTTTTCCGATATTTGCCGGTGTTCGCGGTGCCGATGTTGCCGATATTTGCGGTGCTAATGTTTCGCTGTTTCCAATGTTCGCAGTGTCGATGTTTCGCTGTTTCCAATGATCGCGGTGCCAATGTTTTGTTTTTGCCGATATGTCGATACTCCATTTGTCGTGATTTTTCCAACTTGACAGAATACGTTACGATGAGCCAATTAAAAGGATTATGATAATTATACAATTTTATTGTTACAGGTGGAATTCTCTACCCCTAAGGACATCAGTGCTGTTTCTACACAAGGTCGTAACGGCTGCTGTAAACAATGGGTGACAAAATACAAAGTACAGTACAGCACTGATTGTCAAACCTGGCAGACCCTTCCCCAGGTAATAGTTCCCTTAACATAGTCCCTACCACAATCACCAATTCATATCTATCGTGTCAGTCAACATTTCCAAACTATGGGATATATTTCATAGAAACACGGAACATCATGTTGTGATCCAATTTTGTTTCAACAATCTTCGGCTACATAGTAAACGATTAAATGACAGTACAAAGTATTCATATTTGCCAAAATTATTTCATCATAGTAACCGATTTAGATTCATCTTAGGTTAGAAACTCCAGCGTCAAAGTTCGTCATTGTGTCATGTAATTCTACGCTACAACGGTACTATAATTGATTTGCCGAATTCTATTTTTTTGTAAACTCGTATGAATTTGAATAATTGAACATAAAATGATAAAACATTAAATGTCTTCAACAAAATTCAAAGTGAATCTCATTCAGCGCTATTAATTTTATTGCAGACGCTGATATTTAAACTAAACAAAATAGCCCATAAGGAATTTTTATGTGCATCCTTTTCGGTGTCCTTAAATGGCAGGTCGTTACATATTATAAGAAAAATATGTACATCTCATTTACAAGTTGATTATCAATTTCCGCTTCCTAGGATATGACAGGAAACGTTGACGAGAGTTCCGTTGTGACTCAAACCTTACCAGCTCCTATCACCGCCAAATGTGTCCGTATAAATCCTACTGCCTGGAACCATCATATCTCAATGAGGATGGATCTAATTGGCTGTGACGTCACAACTACTACATTACCGCCCACAACGACTACACAACCAACCACAGTCGCTGTAACAACACAGCCAACCACAGTCGCTGTAACAACACAGCCAACCACAGTCCCTGTAACAACACAACCAACCACAGTTCCTGTAACAACACAGCCAACCACAGTTCCTGTAACAACACAGCCAATCACGACCGTTAAACCAATCGTTTCAACAAATTCTAACCAAGGTACCACTGTCCAAGGTTCGGCAGCTACAGCTGGACAGTCAGCGACGTCCTTGGCTATAGCACCACAGAAAGCGACAGGTGAGTCATTAATAAAATAAATAGTTGATTCAAATTCATCTGACATCTGAACATCGACATGTAACCAAATGATTTGTAAAAAGAGTACTTAAATTGTAAACAAGAACCAGGAGTGACGAAAGGCAAAGCGTCTTCTGCTTTGCGGACGATATTCAAATCTACGTCAAACCGAATAATTTTTTATATCGCTCTAGGAAGTTAGCAAAAATCTCTCATGTCTTTTTGCCATGAGCTGTTATTTCTTGTGTAGATGATGACGTTATGATGTACATTGTTATGTCCCTGATCAAAATAATACATTCTATCAACAAAAACTTTGCAACAAACCCTATACAGAAAGGAAAAGAAACCTGTTACAAAGTTTTAAATATTATCTCGAGGCAAATGAGATAGTGTTGATGGGTTCAATGAAACGCAATATGAAATAATATTGTTTTTTTTTATTTCAAAAATTTTTTTTTCAAAAGAAAAATAAAACCCACGGCTACAGCAAACATTGCAATAACCTAAATCTGAATTTATTGATAATGATTAGAAATGATTTACTACTTTTGTCATCGTTTAGAAAATTGCACACATCAATTATTTCATTTTGTTTGGACAATAATAATTAACACAAGCAGACAAATATTTCAACAAAAATGTATAAGATGTGATTATAATCAAACTAGAAAATGATATACATTTAAAATTATTCACATTACAGGTTCATGTACAGACCATATTGTTTTTGATCCGGCGACGAAACAGCCATTAAATGGGGTGGTTGTGACATCTTCCACGGAGTTCGCGGCTGCTGACCCAACCCACGTGTACAGCGCCGCACGTGGCTTGCTGGACACGGTAGAGAGCAAAGATCAGTCCGGGAATGTGTTGATCGGAGCGTGGGCTGCCGGTACCCTAGATACTAGTCAATATCTCCAGGTATGGAAGAACAGTTAAAAACAATATCAACTTATATACAATATGTTGTTATGCATAACGAGATCGCTTAAATCAATTTAACTCAACAACATCTGGAAAGTTTCAAAATTAAAACTTTTCCCATCCCACCACTAATAGAGATCTAGCTTTGACACGTCAACTAACTTTTATTTGGCTATGTTTGGTCATTTTCAGCGGAAATAAAAACAAATATATATTTCCAAAACAAGAAATGACAGATTTATGTCGTCAATGAAGGACGTATTGCTTGACATCACAGTAATGTATGACAGGTTATATAACTGGTCTGAATTTCCGTGTATTCTATCATCGATTCTTATGTAATTGGGTTGTTTAAAAAGTTATATGTGTTTTCCACCCTAGACAAACCTTTAAACATGTTCCGTTGTTAATCCACTGAAGTTAAGATAATATATTTATGCGTTACCTTCATTTTAAGGTGGAATTTCCGACTCCAAAGACAATCAGTGCTGTAGCTACACAAGGGCGCCATGGATGTTGTAAGCAGTGGGTCACTTCATACAAGATACAATACAGCACTGACTGTAACACGTGGACAACACTTCCCCAGGTATACAGGTGTATTTTACTTAATCACCTTCTAGATTTCAAAATGGCGCCACTTCGCAAAATGGTTGGGGTCATCGAAAGGTGAAACAGCCCCTTGAGGAAGTTGAATTAACTATTTGGCTCTATGGTTTCCAATCCTAAAATTTTGTTCACAAATAGTATTCATTTTTTAAAGTCTTCTTTTTGTATTTCGCAATAGACTCCACAAAATTCTTTTCGTGCTAATTGCACATTGTAGTAACACACATTTCGACACAAATTATACAAATATATACAGAAACGGTGAAATTGATAAACAAACAAACAAATAAGTAAACAAAATTCTAATGAACTTTAAAAGACTAATGATATTTAGTTTTTAGTTATTCTATTTCTTTGGGCGATATGAAGCTGGACGTGTTTAACGATCATTAGTTTGCCTGTTGGTTCCGTTGTGGTATATATTTTTCTCGTTTGAGAACGTGACATCGCTTGCGTTGTTTGACCAAGGTTTATATGGCAGGTGTCGTCGATGAAGCAGAGGACGCTTACACTTCCGAACACCTGGTCTCATTTTGCTTCTACTTTTTCAGTAGACTCCGTGTTAATCTTTCTTTTGTTTATATTTTGCCTTTGACTTATTGAATTTGCGTTTGGATTATGGCTATGTAGGCATTTTGTAACACTGGTGAAGGTCATCGAAGGTTGAAACAGCCATTTTGTGGACTTTAATTAATCATTATCTATGGTTTCTAATTCTATATCAATGTTGGCAGGTGCTTATCTATGAATTTTTTTATTATTCAATCTCCCACCTGTATATTCCTATTGGACCCAATTAAACTCTATTCTTGTTCGTGTATTGCTAATTGTAGTAACACGTATTTTAACGGCACTGATAAAAAGTATTTACAGAAACGGCAAACTTACAAAAGAAACAAACAAAAACAATTCCATTCTGCAAATGAATTTTAAAAGGCTAATGGTAGTTAATTTTAAGTTTTAATGGGTTTTTTTCTTTTCGCATGTGTATTACATCTAAGTTCGATGTTTTCTGTCTTACTGCAGACTTTTACCGGAAACACGGACGAGGATACTGTAGTGAATAACACACTCACTGCGCAGGTCACAGCTAAATGTATTCGGGTGAACCCTGTCACGTGGAATCATCATATCGCAATGAGGATGGATATTATTGGATGTGATTCTACACAAACAACTATGGCGTCTGCGACAACAACAGCGGCTGCTGTGACGTCATCACAGCCCCCTTCACAGACTACGTCAGCAGCATTAACAACATCGTTACCGGCAAAATCTAACAGTAGGTATTTTGGGACGAAATTCGCGATGGTATGTACTACATCTTTAACCCATTGTCATAGACGAATTTACCGTAAACTGTAAATGAGAAGCATCAATATTCGTTATAAACTTACTTTCCATATCACTGACGAGTCCAAAGGGGATGAAACAGCTGTGGAGCACAGTTTAATTCATTATTTCATTCATTGTTTTCATTTATCGTATCAAAAGCTGAATTTGTATTGGAAGATGTTTTTTCTTGTACAGTATTCATGCTAAAAAACAAAACAATATTCCTGGCATGTTAATGAAAGAGAATGTTTATCTGTGAATATATAATTATGTATCAGATATTCACAATTTCTACAATAAATTTAGTTGTCCTTAATCTATAATGTTTCTGTTGATGATTCTTTCGAAAATATGCAGTTGTTTGAAAATGCTTGGGACAAATGTATACATGATTTGAATATTCAAAGGCGCAAGCTAAAATTTGCTCAATATCCGGAAGACAATGTTTCTATCTTCGAATTTCGTGTGATGTTTTCTTTATGTTTTGAATATAAACTTTATTTATTTTACAACAATTGTGAAACAAGTTATGTCAACTTATACTAATCACTCTTGTTGGCCCGGATGTAAGCGTGCGAGGGGTCTAATTGTGGGAGGAAACCGGAGTACCTGGGGAAAACCATGGTCGAGCAGGTGACCCCTTACCTTTTCACGTCCGTTCTGGGAATCGAACCCCGGTCGGCTTGGTGAAAGGCGAGTGCGTTACCACTGCGCCACCCGACCACGCACTTAATGTTTTCGCTATCGATTTTGAATTTGGATAGAAATTTTGTTAAGACATGCGCATGATGTCTGATTTTGTTGTGTTGTCAACATTTGGTGTTTTTATTTTTTATCATATTTATTTATATACTTTTTTTTATGTTGTCAACATTTTCGTGATTTCTTATTTTTGATGTCAATATTTTTGTGATGTCTCATTTTTTATTTTGATGATTTCACGTTCCCCAGCCTCGTGTGGTGATAGCCTGTTGACGTCACCATATGGTGCTAGCTTCACTATGTCAGCATCGTCAGAAAAGGAGAAAATAGACCCCACTCAGGTATACTCCCCTGATCGTGGCGTTCTCAACCAGAAGGAACTCCTTGACACAAATGGAAATCTCCAAATGGGAGCTTGGTCCCCGGATACCAACAACGTCAGTCAATATTTACAGGTGAGAACATGTACAGGTAACTTAATTGACAGGTGAAATCAACAGACATAGTTAGGCGGTCAGGTAAAAACAAGCTTATCTACACTGCGACAAATTTATAATAAAACGTATTGACGTATCCGGATATGAAATATCCGACTCTAATCTTTAGTTTGTGCTTGCTGATCTACCTCAGTCTATATTTGTCTCACATCGCGTTATCGATTTTCCACGATGGCCAAATACCTTTTTGAACTCTAATACTAAGTACTTGTTGTGTTTGTTAAAATCCAAGTATACAGTTCGTACGACAATATATTTGAATACAATTTTATTGCTCTGTATAATTAGTAGTTTTCCCGGAATATTTAAATTCGAATTTTTTCAGCGAACATCTCTGTCGTTTATGAAAATCTCCAATATCTATTTTGTCTTCATATGTTGACACCAGATCATAGACACCCACATCACTTTAATATCTGTAAACTAGCCCAAAGCAGGACAGCGGCAAAGTATTAGCGCCGCGAAATAAAACAAACATACGGCATTTAATGGAATGTGAATATATAAGTTTTAACATCACTCGATAAATCGATATACACGTACCATTAAATTTGACAGACGTAAATTTTAAAAATTGTAACTATAATCAGGTCCAATTTTAACGTATGTGTTACATTACATTTGTGCGAATCTGTATTCTATAAATAAAAAAGCATCATTTAATCATATGCGCTGAATATTTGGAGTGGGGACTTTTTTTATTGATGATGTAATTTTCAATTTCCGAAACATTTATCTTTGTCAATTACTGACTACTTACGACAATTTACACAGGTTAACTTCTCAAGTCCTGTCGTCATCCGTGACGTCACCACCCAAGGCCGCAATGGCTGTTGCCAAGATTGGGTCAGCCAATACAGGCTAGAATACAGCACGGACTGTGTCACGTGGTTACCAGTCGGCAGTGGAGCTGGCACGGTAGGTTGTGACGAAATTACTCAAAAATAATTTATTTCTGCAAATACGATTTTATTTTATACTCCATTGAATCACAAAACCAAATATATAACCATAACAGCTTCCAAATGGCGGGTAGAACACTTCAAAGGCAATAACCGCGCTAATTATTCCAAGCATGTCTTAAATTTCCATAGATATAAAATACTCAGTTAATTTATCTGTGTATTGACGCAGCTCTGGTACATGTATGATAAGATATGTAAACTTATGAATTAATTTAGACATTCACAGGGAATACTGATCAGGATACACCAGTTACAAACTCACTCGGCTGTGTAATCACTGCAAAGTGTATGCGACTTATTCCTCTCGTCTGGAACAACAACATTGCCGTCAGGTTGGATTTTACCGGCTGTAAGATCCGACAAAGTCCGGCAGGAGGCGCCACCACCACCGCACCAGTTCCGGTGACACAGTCGGTACCACAGGCGGCCGTCACAGCTCAAGGCTAGTGAACATGACGTAGTGATATAGGATCCCACAGTGCTTTTATGTGAAGGCGTCACTTCCTGTGCTTTGAGTTACCTTTCCTGTGTTATCCCATTTTATCTTTTTGTCTCCAAGTGTGTGCAAACCTTTCTTTAAATCCTTTCCTATCCCTTCCCGGCTTGTCGAATCCTAATAAAATATATACATCACCAGGCACTTGTCACACCTGCAATTGATAATGATTTTTAAAACAGAAAGCTTCTTAATAAATGTAAATTTGGTATACCTATATATTGATTGGTTAAGACTGATTGTAATGTTCATATTTACCGCAAACGTAAATGTATGAGATCCAAATATAATGTGATTTTTCAAACATTTCTTCAATAAATTGTAATACTTTACTCTGCTTTGGTTGCATACCTTTGTTTTCCTTTTTCCGTTTTTATTCAAATTACAACTTGCTTAACGAATTACTTATTCAAATTACTGTCTAATCATTTATTTTTTTTAAAGTTTATTTTCGTGGATATCATGGGTACAATAAATTGACGAATTTGCAGGTCAACACATTCATAACAATAAAATGTTGACATCACTTCAGGATTGATGAATAAGATTTATCCACAACGATGCATTTTTGTGTAAAACCACGAAATTTGAGCCCGACGAAAAAAATTGATTTTGCAGTATCAAGAAATAATTTTATTACATTTGACATTATAAGATAATAAAATGTATATTTTACTTTCATTGTATAAGTATTTGGTCATATCTGTCTAGATAATTGTAATGTTTCCGAATAAATATATATATATATATATAATGAAATTTGGATTCGTTAAGCAAATTGGTTTTGCAAGATGGGACAGTTTAATGTTAGAAACTGTATGTACTGTAGTCCATCTCTTTCACAGTGCAATAAGGTATGGCATATCTTCGTTTATGATTTATTTTTGTCACGAAACCGCACCGAAGCAATCTGTTATTCCCAGACATGATGGTCCAGTTTAATCTTGCGACAATATATATCTATATACCTTCGTGTTGTTGTAATCACTTGTGTCGGTTTAAAACTTTTTAACAATATCTCATCTAGATCATGCGAAAAAAGGCATGAAAGGGTTGTGTATAAGACACAAACGTGACCAGCATTTCTCAATTTCAATTTAGAATTACATGTAAATAAGGTAAAGCAAAGCTGTGAGAAAATGCGAAACAGCAAACTGCACCATAAAGCTGTTTTAGGCTTCTTTAATCTGTTGATAGTGTTAAGGGCCTAACGTGTACAAACACAGGAGACGACCAAGGAAAGTAAACCCGGGTCAAAATTATTACAATGAAAACTTCATGGTAACCCAACGGGTAACCATTCAACGTTCTTTAGAAGTGTATCTTATTTATAAAAATCAAACGGATTATCAATTGTATTTCAGTCCTAAATTATCCCATTTCTAACACATCTTTTTAAGTTTCTATCTTGTGTTGTTTGAAGTATAAATATCCCGTCATCCTTTGTAATATATGTTATCTTGCATATCCCTCTTTTGCTAACAATCTTTGATATCCCGTCATTCTATGTAATATAAGTAACCTTGCATATATCCCTTTACTTTTAAGAAATAATCTTTTATATCCCGTCATCCTTTGTAATATAAGTAACCTTGCATATATCCCTCCTTTGTATTGTTCCTGTTGTAACCTCTGACGTCATCCTTTGTAGTTAATATCCTCTTATAACCATCCCTATTGTGTAACCTCACACATCATGCACCCTTACTGCATGTCATTAAAAATTCCTCTGTTGTGTTGCTGCCATATCTATCGGTGAAAGATATATAACAATTACAATATACAGAATACCGCCCACTTTTTCTATCATGTACGGAACATGTTTTCGACGAATGGAAAATTATTATTCACATCAAATATCTGAAGCTTTTTTTATATATCATTTATATGCTACAAAGTATACCGTTCATACAATCTCTTATGATGTACATGCCACGTGCATTGCATGCTAACAAGCAGATTTGGTATTTAAAATTGAAAAAAAACTTTGTATAAATAATTAAGACGAATAACAGAAAATTCAAAATACCTTAATCCCAGGAAGAATTATATTCCACAGCGTGAAGACATTTTACTTCATTCAAATATTGTGTTATTTAGAAATTTGGACAACGAATAACATCAGACTTAACTGCCTTCTGATAACGGCCTTTGTGTATTTAAATGTCCTGTTGCGGTCAATTTCCAATGAGCTCGACATGCAGTATAAAATAAATATGACAGACAGAGAAGTCCTGTGCACACTACATAAACAGATTAATGAAAGCTAGTTGATAGGGCAGCCATTTGGTTAAGAATTCAATCAATTCATATTAAATCCCCGGATGAAAACATGATAGCAGCACATGTCGAAATCAAAACACGTGTCAATATTTCACCTTCGTTGCAACGACTTTGAGTTTGAATAAGAATTCTTTTAAGATGTCTTGCCAGGTGTTGTTTTGTTGATTTTGGACTTGAAGGATATCTATTTGATGTAGTACGTTTATGTAAACTACGGATAAACACAAATTAAATGAGGCAAAGAATTAAACAAAACCTCGCCTGTTAATTAATTGGTGCTTTAGGTTATTTTTCAATTTAAAGTTTAGTAACTCAAATAACTTACCTCGCACCTGTTTATGTAGGAATGAAATAACATGATATCACAACATTGGCTTTCAAACTGATTTCTTTCTCGCGAAATAATAGCTTGGTTCGTTCTTAGCATGTGATGTTCGCAAATTTGCTTAAAGGGACACTGTGTTACTAGAGGTAAGATTATAATTGTTTCTTGTCCTTTCACCAGTGTACTTAATAAGTGTAAAAATGAACTATTTTGAAATGTACTCTTTGCACAATTCTTTCACAGTATTAAAATATGATATTTTATAATGTGTTCTTTACTTACATTTAACGTACATTCTTTCCATTATCAAAATTAATTATTTGAAATGTGCCCTTTATTTAATTTCACTTACAATCTTTCCAACTATTAAAATGAACTATTTGAATTGTGTTTTTGCTAATATTCGTTCAAGTATTTTTTTTCTAATTTTGATTAATTGAGATAGAATTAATTAAACCTGCATACTCCGCTTTCATCAGTTAGAATAGGGTATATATACTGGAAAAAACAAATTTCATCGTTATTTTAATCATATATTCAGGTCAATTTCCATAACAAAATTTATTTCGTGTCATTCTGATGTTTGGTTTATAAAGTATGATATTTAATTTTTATATTGGAAGTCATTCTATCCTTTGTAACTTCGTATGAGGTCAAAACATACCTTGTCATCATAACATTTTTTGTAACATGAGACCAGCAGAAGCATTTGAGCACGTGTGCATTTTCTAGGCTTTGTAACTGCAAAATTAAAACACAAATCGAATCCTTATTTAATACAAGGTAAAAAGGCCTGTCAGCTCTGAACATAGGGTTTTAAAAGATACAAGTTGATGAAAATGATGGGAAAGTTTTAGGATCGCCAGAGTTGTCCCTTTGAGAATTTTTTTTTTTTTTGTGCGTTATTAAGCTGTGCGTACTTTGTGCACGTTAGCTTGTCGGTTGGTTCCTTTGTTGTATACCTCTTTGAGACATTACTTATTTGGACTGACAAAAATCTACAAAGCTAGTACAGAAAACGCTTACTCTTCCGGAACACCAGGTTCTATTATTCGTATACTTTTTCAGAGAATCTGTATAGCTATTTCCTTAATGGCTTCACTGACTCGGTGTCCACAATAATTTCTACTAAATCACAGTACTCTGATTCGGGTTTGTAATGATGGCTGTCGACAAAGTATTTGCTATTCCTTTAAAAGAAATGTATAATCTTTGAATGAGTAAACAACAGTTACGTCATTTTTTGTCTTAGGTAAAATATGACATTTACAAAAACGTAACGTTTATAATAACTATTTTCAGATTCCGTCAGGTTAACCAAACTTTAATTTGAAAGGAGAATAGAAATAGGTGTTCCATAGGATCAATAGACACATCAGAGTATAAAACCTTCGATGCAAATAAGGAAATCGATACTACAGAGCCAACTTAATTTTGATTTATTCAAATAGAGGCACAGTTAAGAACATACACAGTTAGTGATTCTAAATGTATCATAAAGCCATGACGCTATATGCATCATACAGCTGTTTCGCCCTTCTAAGATCCGTCATTGATGCTAGATACATCATACAGCTGTTTCGCCCTTCTAAGATCCGTCATTGATGCTATATACATCATACAGCTGTTTCGCCCTTCTAAGATCCGCCATTGATGCTATATACATCATACAGCTGTTTCGCCCTTCTAAGATCCGCCATTGATGCTATATACATCATACAGCTGTTTCGCCTTTCTAAGATCAGTCATTGATACTAGATTCATAGTACAGCTGTTTCGCCCTTCTAATGTCCGTCATTAATCTTATGTATCATACAGCTGTTTCACTCTTCTAAGATCCGCCATTGATGCTATATACATCATACAGCTGTTTCGCCCTTCTAAGATCCGTCATTGATGCTATATACATCATACAGCTGTTTCGCCTTTCTAAGATCCGCCATTGATGCTAGATACATCATACAGCTGTTTCGCCCTTCTAAGATCCGCCTTTGATGCTATATTCATCATACAGCTGTTTCGCACTTCTAAGATCCGCCATTGATGCTAGATACATCACACAGCCGTTTCTCCCTTCTAAGATGATGCTATATACACACAGCTGTTTCGCCCTTATAAGATCAGTCATTGATGCTAGATACATCATACAGCTGTTTCGCCCTTATAAGATCAGTCATTGATGCTAGATACATCATACAGCTGTTTCACCCTTCTAAGATCCGTCATTGATGCCAGATGCATCCTACAGCTGTTTCGCCCTTCTAAGATCCGTCATTGATGCTAATGTATCTTACAGCTGTTTCGCCCTTCTAAGATCCGTCATTGATGCCTGATGCATGGCAAAGATTCATTTAATATGCTCTTACCATTTAGCAACTATTCTAGTATTCTAAAACGTCACACCAACATACGGAGTCATTTCTGTACTGTTTACGATCTCACCAGGTTATTTCTAGTAGCAAGATCTCCCTAGCATTCTCGCTTCACAAAAGTTTGTTGAAAGACTCGCAAGTGAAAAACGACTGCAATAAAAGCAACAAAGAGACCTCCGACAAGTCAGAAAGATGTTAATGCAAACTCCAATTCGTAGCAACTAGGGTAAATATTAACAAAATGCACACATACATATGATGAGATCCATGAAAAAAGTACAATAACAATGCAACGCATGTAGTGTACGAGATGGAAAGAATCGAAAAACCTTTTCGGCTGTACTATGATTCCATGTTCACTAAGGTTGCAATAGTGTGACGAGATGGTAAAAATATCATAGAAAAAAGTACACAAGATGGTCACAATACTCCGAAATAATAAGACAAGTTACTCTGGAAGTGTTTAATGGTTCATCGATGTGACCCTCCATTTAACTCTTGGTCAATCCAAGTTAGTAATGTCACGTTCTCAAACGAGAACAAGGTATACAACAGCAGAATCACCGCGCAAAAACTAACCAGCATAAAACGCGTCCAATTTGAAACTTACACAGTGAAATAGAATTTTTCCTTATTAGGTCGTAAAACCTGCTTATACTCTTCATGAACTTGCAAGATTTTGAACATGGAATTTGTTGTAACTAATCCAAATGTATCTGTATTGTTATAATTAATCTAAATCAAAATACCTTTATATTGTCAGCATATGCACCAGTCTTATACTTAAAACGTCCTTCTCAGTTATAGTATTATTCACAAAATTCTTTGACATTGTTCTCTTTTTAGGAACGTGACAGTATCTGTATTGTTATAAGTTTATATGTCGGTTGTTATTGACGAAACATAAGATGCTAACAGTTCCTTTATCTTTTAACATTCTTATATGTTTCACTTTGTAAATACTTTGTTTATCTGTATATTCTCGGTTCATCGGATATGACCTTGACGTAAAACAATGAACATGTTATTTTCTGTATTGTTTAAGAGCGGTAGTCAGATCAGAAAAACTGAGAGGGTTTTACAGAAATGGTTTTAGCCTCGGTTTGGATATTTAATGTAATATACAATAACAGCAAATAAAAAATAATTGATATATGATACATATTTAATAAACATGGTAAAATCAATAAAGATAACGTGCAAAAATTTGAATTTATATAATATTTTCCTTGCGACATAGGTCTAAATCCGACTTTGCAGATATTTGCAGAAACCCATTACTGACATCACAAGGACACGTGACGTCTGTGTCATCCTCCAGTGAGTATGGTTCCATCGACCCTAAGAATGTGTACGACGCCTCGAGATCACTACTGAACACTACCGAACAGACACTCAACAATAAAACTGTCCTAAACGGAGCTTGGGTGGCCGCTACTAACGACAGAAATCAATATATACAGGTAGATATAGCGTCAACACTTACGGACAAGTACAGAAATATATACAGGTAGACATAGCGTCAACACTTACTGACAAGTACAGAAATATATACAGGTAGACATAGCGTCAACACTTACTGACAAGTACAGAAATATATACAGGTAGACATAGCGTCAACACTTACTGACAAATACAGAAATCAATATATACAGGTAGACATAGCGTCAACACTTACCGACAAATACAGAAATCACTATATACGGGTAAACATAGCGTCAACACTTACCGACAAATACAGAAATCACTATATACAGGTAGACATAGCGTCGACACTTACTGACAAACACAGAAATCAATATATACAGGTAGACAAAGCGTCAACACTTACCGACAAATACAGAAATCACTATATACGGGTAAACATAGCGTCAACACTTACCGACAAATACAGAAATCACTATATACGGGTAAACATAGCGTCAACACTTACCGACAAATACAGAAATCACTATATACAGGTAGACATAGCGTCAACACTTACTGACAAATACAGAAATATATACAGGTAGACATAGCGTCAACACTTACTGACAAATACAGAAATCAATATATACATGTAGACATAGCGTCAACACTTACTGACAAATACAGAAATCAATATATACAGGTAGACATAGCGTCAACACTTACTGACAAATACAGAAATCAATATATACAGGTAGACAAAGCGTCAACACTTACTGACAAATACAGAAATCACTATATACAGGTAGACATAGCGTCAACACTTACTGACAAATACAGAAATCAATATATACAGGTAGACAAAGCGTCAACACTTACTGACAAATACAGAAATCAATATATACAGGTAGACAAAAAGGTAGTGAAATAGAAATGTGTCAGTAATAACTGACAAAACAGAACTGAACATGGACAATAAACGAACAGATAATGGAGACATATGGACCTGCTATATTGTATATTCAAAGCATGAAAAATAGTTATTTCTATCAGTTAGTCTACAGTAAGTATAACAAGTTCCAAGGGTTTACGACAATCCCTTCTCTCCTCTATTTTTCTGTATTATTGAATGCAAGTCTAGGTTAACAAGACTGCCAATGCTTTCTCTTGGAACTGTGACATATAATCTTAAAAGTCGGTTCTGATAAAAAAAATTACTTCAATGTATGGAGTGTGTTGTGTCACACTCGGAAGAGTTACATAGAGTATTAACATACGAGTTAAATCTTACTATTGCAGGTGAACTTCAGCGCGCCACATTTACTGAGGGGTGTGACCACCCAGGGAAGGAATGGATGCTGTAAGGACTGGGTTACCAAGTACGCTGTCCACTACAGCTACGACTGTCAACACTGGGTAGCTGTGGGTGGGGCAAACGAAACGGTAGGTGTAGTGGACAGAACAGCCAAAATAGTAGGTGTATTGGGCAGAACTGCCAATGTGACAGGTGTTGTGTTAAAAACAACCGAAATGCCAGTTGTAGTGGACAGTCGAAATGACAGGTGTAGCGAACAAAACAGTCGAAATGATAGGTGTAGTAGACAGAACAGTCGAAATGATAGGTGTAGTAGACAGAACAGTCGAAATGACAGGCGTAGTAGACAGAACAGTCGAAATGATAGGTGTAGTAGACAGAACAGTCGAAATGATAGGTGTAGTGGACAGAACAGTCGAACTGATAGGTGTAGTAGACAGAATAGTCGAACTGATAGGTGTAGTAGACAGAATAGTCGAAATGATAGGTGTAGCGGACAGAATAGTCGAACTGATAGGTGTAGTAGACAGAACAGTCGAACTGACAGGTGTAGCGAACAAAACAGTCGAACTGACAGATGTAGCGGACAAAATAGCCGAAATGACATTTGTAGTGGGCAGAAAAGCAGGATTGAGCGTTTTAGTATGAAGAACAGCCGAAACGGTAGGTATTGCAGACAGAACAGCCCAAATAGCATATGTAATGGACATGGCAATGGTTGGTATAGGAATAACTTCTGCCTATTTTTAATATGATTTGTGAACAGTATATTTAAAGGACAAATGTATCTATCGCTTTCATAATTATTTCTGTAAAATTGAATAATTGACTGATACTTATTTTATCGGGAAAAAAAATATAAATTAGGTTTAAACATGAAAACTTCATATTTACTTTCTGTTAGTTGTTTACCGGAAATACTGACCAGGACACACCCGTCACCAGTGACCTCGGCTGTCCAATCTGGGCCCGATGTGTACGAATCTATCCTAGACAGTGGCACAAAAATGTTGCAATGCGCATTGATCTTCTCGGCTGTCCAATAAAACAACTTCCAGGTATGTTTAAGAAAAAAAAATAAAATAACAACAAAATCTTTATACAACGTATAAACTCAAGTAATTTGGAGTGAGACCATGCGTTCCGGTAGGGTAAGCGTCTTCTGCTTTATGTACAATGTAGATATTGGTCAATTCAAGTAAGTTATATCACGTTGTACAATTAAAACAAGGTAAACGACTATGGAAACACCAGGCATATCAAAGAGTATCAAACACGTCCAACTATAAATCACATTAGGAATCAAAACATCGCACATATGTGTGGTTTATACTGAATTATGTGGCTAGTGCACAGTATCATTTAAAATTTGACTTTTTTCAATCACTTTGTATTTTCTTCAGTAGCCTAACAGGTTTCAAAATTTAGGCTTTTAGTAAAACTGATGAGTCCTAGAAGGATGAAACAGCTGTATTGTATAGTATCACTGACTAGTCCTTGAAGGACGAAACAGCTGTATAATGTAGCATCACTGACGAGTCCTAAAAGGACGAAACAACTGTATGATATGGCATCACTGACGCGTACTAAAGGGCGAAACAGCTGTTTGATATCACTGCATCACTGAAGGACGCAGCTGTTTGATGTAAAGGGCGAAACAGCTGTTTGATGTAGCATCACAGACGCGTCCTATAGGACGAAACAGTTTTATGATGTAACATCACTGAAGAGTCCTAGAAGGGCGAAACAGCTGTTTGATGTAGCATCGCTGACGCGTCCTATAGGATGAAACAGTTTTATGATGTAGCATCACTGACTAGTCCTAGAAGGACGAAACAGCTGTATGATGTACCGTCACTGACGCGTCCTAGAAGGACGAAACAGCTGTATGATGTAGCATTACTGACGAGTCCTAGAAGGACGAAACAGCTGTATGACTGTTTGGCTCTTGTATCTAACTCTAAATTTGTATTGAAATTTGCTGTTTCCTCCAATATCTACAATCCTCTATTTATATGTCCTAAAGAAATACATTTTATAAAAATATTATAAAAATGCATCTGTTTATTCTGTCATGTCGATTAACAAATAAAACGTTTTTCTCGTCTTTTGTGATAGACCGAGAGATGGATCAAAGAACTAGAAAAAACAAACAAACAAACAAGACATGGAATATAGAAAAAAACTCAAACACGTTTTACTTTACGTAATTTCAAAGTGTAGAACATCATTTAATCAAGTATGTTTAGCATTTTCAACTCCCATAGATGTTTTGCCTGGCGACGCTATCATGGGTTTATTATTCACATTATACATGTAGGAAGAGGGTACGTCAGAATAGATTTGACAGTAAGAGAATATTCGCCTCGGGCAACTCTCAGACCGGGACATTTGAGGGATTTCCGATCAGTCTAAAATTCACTCGGACCACACTAAATGATTATATTAAGTTATGGTTCAGTGACTGAATCTTAAGGATCGCTATTTTGTTGTCTGACCTTCTTTTGAATTTTCGTTTCTGCATCTGGATGATATATTTAGTCATTTAACTAAATATTTTTGGTGTATGCTACTAACGTTTCTGCAAAAAAAATGTATACATAGCCCACAGAGAAAAATGCATGCCAACCTAGCCAAACAACCTTTAATTACAAATTCAGTATAAAAGGGCAAAATATAAACAAAAGAAAGATTTACATGTAGACCCATAGTAACCTAACAAGGCGATCAGGACCAGGTAAGATCCAGTGTCTTCCTCTTCATTGACCATGTAAATCCTGGCCAATGTCATGTTTCCAAATGAAAACAGTAAACACCAGGCAACATACCAGCATCAAACACGTCCAATATCGCACATCGCCCCGTTAAAAATACATGTCTCTTTACGTTTAAAACCATGTTTATATAACATTTAAGAATATCAACAAACACCGCGCATTAACACACAATAAAAGTGGTGACAAGACCGTTTGTTCTTACGCAAGCCTTATCGTATTACTTAATATCGACAAATACAAACACTGGAGTTTATAAGTTTCACCTAGAAACTATGAAATGCCGATTTTGTTAAATGACAAATTAGATTAAAAAAAAAAGGATATGTAAGAAAACAACGTTAATTTGGCATTTAAAGATCTGAGAAAAAAATTAACTAAATATCGATTCCAATTTAATTTATTCTACAAAATTTCCAGCATCAACGATTGCAACGCCTACCGCCACGACAGCGACTTCTGTAGGGATCTCGGCCACTACCAACACCGCTACGTATTGGACTTCGTCGACCCATATAACGCCACCTCCAAGAATTCCTGCAGCTTTCTATAACACAAAGGATCCCATCGATTGCAGGTTTTCACTTAGCACCTTCAACTGTTCGATTCCCATCGTACATCAGCATTGCCCTTTCTCTTGTGGTATGTATAATTCTGTATTTGAACACGAAACAATATCAAATTGTTTTACAAACTCAGAATCAGAATCCATGTCGCGATCATAGGAAAAACACCAGCTTACTTAAAATGAAAAATATAAAACATATTTAAGAAACTTTTACACAGAGAAAAATTTTTATCTTTAACCCGTCATCGTTGAAACAAGGAAAATATATATAAAAAAAAATACTCTGTGATCCTCGACAAAGTGTAAAGAGAATAATTCCTCTGGAAGGGTTAGGGCCATGAATGAGCAAAAATCAGAACCATGTTCAGCATGTTGAGGAAATACTGATTTTTTATAATGTCTATTCAAGGTGTATCGAAGAAAAGAAGTATGGCCGAAAATCTACTACCTTAAGAAACGAATATTCATAGATATAAGTAATACTTATTTATTGATGATTTAATAACACACCACCAATTAAGAAAGATATGATATTGTTCATATGAGATTGTTTTAATGATATGCTCCAGCTGGGCGATTTTCCACGACTCCAGTTGTCACTACAACCATGGCTTCTACTTCTTCTGGAACATCTTCGACGGGTGGACCTACATTTTCTACGTCCTTTTCTTTATCGTCTACCACCACATCAACATTGACGTCTTTGCAGAGTAGACCTCCGACATCACCTGGAAGAACTACTTTAAGCACGCCAATGAATTCTAAATCAACTTCCGGAACGTCTTCATCAGGTGTTAATTCTACGTCACCACTGCCCTCAATTACATCAGGAACATCTTATTCTACATTATCTGGACAAACAACGCCACAGATAGCTGTTCAGAGTAATCCACACATCACATATACAGTCGTGTATCCTACAGCATTGTCAACTCGTCAGATCAGTATGTATCTGTACAAACACACATCACATATACAGTGGTGAATCCTACAGCATCATCAACTCGTCAGATCAGTGTGTATCTGTACAAACACACATCACATATACAGTGATGTATCCTACAGCATTGTCAACTCGTCAGATCAGTGTGTATCTGCACAAACACACATCACATATACAGTGGTGTATCCTACAGCATTGTCAACTCGTCAGATCAGTGTGTATCTGTACAAACACACATCACATATACAGTGGTGTATCCTACAGCATTGTCAACTCGTCAGATCAGTGTGTATCTGTACAAACACACATCACATATACAGTGGTGAATCCTACAGCATCGTCAACTCGTCAGATCAGTGTGTATCTGTACAAACACACATCACATATACAGTGGTGTATCCTACAGCATTGTCAACTCGTCAGATCAGTGTTGATCTGTACAAACACACATCACATCACATATACAGTATCAGTGTCACATATACAGTGTGAATCCTACAGCATCGTCAACTCGTCAGATCAGTGTGTATCTGTACAAACACACATCACATATACAGTGGTGTATCCTACAGCATTGTCAACTGGTCAGATCAGTGTGTATCTGTACAAACACACATCACATATACAGTGTCGATCCTACAGCATGTCAACTCGTCAGATCAGTGTGTATCTGCACAAACACACATCACATATACAGTGGTGTATCCTACAGCATTGTCAACTGGTCAGATCAGTGTGTATCTGTACAAACACACATCACATATACAGTCGTGTATCCTACAGCATTGTCAACTCGTCAGATCAGTGTGTATCTGTACAAACACACATCACATATACAGTGGTGTATCCTACAGCATCAACTCGTGTGTGTGTATCTGTACAAACACACATCACATATACAGTGGTGTATCCTACAGCATTGTCCTACAGCATTGTCAACTGGTCAGATCAGTGTGTATCTGTACAAACACACATCACATATACAGTGGTGAATCCTACAGCATCGTCAACTCGTCAGATCAGTGTGTATCTGTACAAACACACATCACATATACAGTCGTGAATAACACAGCATCGTCAACTCGTCAGATCAGTGTATATCTGTACAAACACACATCACATATACAGTGGTGAATCCTACAGCATCACATATACAGTGCATCGTCAACTAGATCAGTGTGTATCTGTACAAACACACATCACATACACAGTGGTGAATCCTACAGCATCGTCAACTCGTCAGATCAGTGTGTATCTGTACAAACACACATCACATATACAGTGGTGTATCCTACAGCATGGGCAACTCGTCAGATCAGTGTGTATCTGTACAAACACACATCACATATACAGTGGTGAATCCTACAGCATCGTCAACTCGTCAGATCAGTGTGTATCTGTACAAACACACATCACATATACAGTGGTGTATCCTACAGCATCATCAACTCGTCAGATCGGTGTGTATCTGTACAAACACACATCACATATACAGTGGTGTATCCTACAGCATCAACTCGTCAGCAGTGTGTATCTGTACAAACACACATCACATATACAGATCAGTGTGTATCAGTGTGTATCTGTACAAACACACATCACATATACAGTGGTGTATCCTACAGCATTGTCAACTCGTCAGATCAGTGTGTATCAGTGTGTCAACTCGTCAGATCAGTGTGTATCTGTACAAACACACATCACATATACAGTGGTGTATCCTACAGCATCGTCAACACACATCGTCAGATCAGTCAGTGTGTGTATCTGTACAAACACACATCACATATACAGTGGTGTATCCTACAGCATAACTCGTCAGATCAGTGTGTATCTGTACAAACACACATCACATATACAGTGGTGAATCCTACAGCATTGTCAACTCGTCAGATCAGTGTGTATCTGTACAAACACACATCACATATACAGTGTGTATCCTACAGCATCAGTGTGTGTATCTGTACAAACACACATCACATATACAGTGGTGTATCCTACAGCATCGCCAACTCGTCAGATCAGTGTGTATCTGTACAAACACACATCACATATACAGTGGTGTATCCTACAGCATCGTCAACTCGTCAGACAATCTGTACACACATCACATATACAGTGGTGAATCCTACAGCATCGTCAACTCGTCAGATCAGTGTGTATCTGTACAAACACACATCACATACACAGTGGTGTATCCTACAGCATCGTCAACTCGTCAGATCAGTGTGTATCTGTGCAAACACACATCACGTATACAGTGGTGTATCCTACAGCATCGTCAACTCGTCAGATCAGTGTGTATCTGTACAAACACACATCACATATACAGTGGTGTATCCTACAGCATTGTCAACTCGTCAGATCAGTGTGTATCTGTACAAACACACATCACATATACAGTGGTGAATCCTACAGCATCATCAACTCGTCAGATCAGTGTGTATCTGTACAAACACACATCACATATACAGTGATGTATCCTACAGCATTGTCAACTGGTCAGATCAGTGTGTATCTGTACAAACACACATCACATATACAGTGGTGTGCATTGTCAACTCGTATCCTACAGCATTGTCAACTCGTCAGATCAGTGTGTATCTGTACAAACACACATCACATATACAGTGGTGTATCCTACAGCATCGTCAACTCGTCAGATCAGTGTGTATCTGTACAAACACACATCACATATACAGTGGTGTATCCTACAGCATTGTCAACTCGTCAGATCAGTGTGTATCTGTACAAACACACATCACATATACAGTGATGTATCCTACAGCATTGTCAACTGGTCAGATCAGTGTGTATCTGTACAAACACACATCACATATACAGTGGTGTATCCTACAGCATTGTCAACTCGTCAGATCAGTGTTGATCTGTACAAACACACATCACATATACAGTGGTGAATCCTACAGCATCGTCAACTCGTCAGATCAGTGTTGATCTGTACAAACACACATCACATATACAGTGGTGAATCCTACAGCATCGTCAACTCGTCAGATCAGTGTGTATCTGTACAAACACACATCACATATACAGTGATGTATCCTACAGCATTGTCAACTGGTCAGATCAGTGTGTATCTGTACAAACACACATCACATATACAGTGGTGTATCCTACAGCATTGTCAACTCGTCAGATCAGTGTGTATCTGTACAAACACACATCACATACACAGTGGTGAATCCTACAGCATCGTCAACTCGTCAGATCAGTGTGTATCTGTACAAACACACATCACATATACAGTCGTGTATCCTACAGCATTGTCAACTCGTCAGATCAGTATGTATCTGTACAAACACACATCACATATACAGTACACAGCATCATCAACTCGTCAGATCAGTTCACATATACAGTGGTGTATCCTACAGCATTGTCAACTCGTCAGATCAGTGTGTATCTGTACAAACACACATCACATATACAGTGGTGAATCCTACAGCATTGTCAACTCGTCAGATCAGTGTGTATCTGTACAAACACACATCACATATACAGTGTTGTATCCTACAGCATTGTCAACTCGTCAGATCAGTGTGTATCTGTACAAACACACATCACATATACAGTGATGTATCCTACAGCATGTGTCAACACACATCGTCAGATCAGTGTGTATCTGTACAAACACACATCACATATACAGTGGTGTATCCTACAGCATCACATATACAGTCAACATCGTCAACTCGTCAGATCAGTGTGTATCTGTACAAACACACATCACATATACAGTGGTGAATCCTACAGCATCGTCAACTCGTCAGATCAGTGTTGATCTGTACAAACACACATCACATATACAGTGGTGAATCCTACAGCATCGTCAACTCGTCACATCTGTACAAACACACATCACATATACAGTGATGTAACTCGTCAGATCAGTGTGTATCTGTACAAACACACATCCTACAGCATTGTCAACTCGTCAGATCAGTGTGTATCTGTACAAACACACATCACATATACAGTGGTGTATCCTACAGCATCTTCAACTCGTCAGATCTGTGTGTATCTGTACAAACACACATCACATATACAGTGGTGTATCCTACAGCATCGTCAGATCAGTGTGTATCTGTACAAACACACATCACATATACACACAGATCAGTGTGTATCACAAACACACATCACATATACAGTGGTGTATCCTACAGCAATGTAAACAGGTCAGATCAGTGTGTATCTGTACAAACACACATCACATATACAGTGGTGTCCTACAGCATCCTAGATCAGTGTGTATCTGTACAAACACACATCACATATACAGTCGTGTATCCTACAGCATTGTCAACTCGTCAGATCAGTATGTATCTGTACAAACACACATCACATATACAGTGGTGTATCCTACAGCATCGTCAACTCGTCAGATCAGTGTGTATCTGTACAAACACACATCACATATACAGTGGTGTATCCTACAGCATCGTCAACTCGTCAGATCAGTGTGTATCTGTACAAACACACATCACATATACAGTGGTGTATCCTACAGCATCGTCAACTCGTCAGATCAGTGTGTGATCTGTACAAACACACATCACATATACAGTCAGATCAGTGTGTATCTGTACAAACACACATCACATATACAGTCGTGTATCCTACAGCATCGTCAACTCGTCAGATCAGTGTGTATCTGTACAAACACACATCACATATACAGTGGTGAATCCTACAGCATCGTCAACTCGTCAGATCAGTGTGTATCTGTACAAACACACATCACATATACAGTGGTGTATCCTACAGCATCGTCAACTCGTCAGATCAGTGTGTATCTGTACAAACACACATCACATATACAGTGGTGTATCCTACAGCATTGTCAACTCGTCAGATCAGTGTGTATCTGTACAAACACACATCACATATACAGTGGTGTATCCTACAGCATCGTCAACTCGTCAGATCAGTGTGTATCTGTACAAACACACATCACATATACAGTGGTGAATCCTACAGCATTGTCAACTCGTCAGATCAGTGTAGCACACCTCTAATAGCTGTACATAGTAATCCACCCGTATCAACAACTACTACGAGTCACAGTACTATATCGACAACGTCTTCACCCCAGTCTAGTACAACAGTGTCAACACCGATATCTAGTACAACAGCATCAACATCAGTGTCTAGTACAACAGTGTCAACACCAGTGTCTAGTACAACAGCATCAACACCAGTATCTAGTACAGCATCATCAACATCAGTGTCTAGTACAGCATCGTCAACACCAGTGTCTAGTACAACAGCGACCACCCTAGTGTCCAGTACAACAGTATCAACACCAGTATCAAGTACTGCATCTTCAACACCAGTGTCTAGTACAACAGCGTCAACACCTGTGTCCAGTACAGCAACATCAACACCAGTGTCTAGTACAACAGTGTCAACACCAGTGTCTAGTACAGCATCGTCAACAGCAGTGTCTGGTACAACAGCATCAACATCGGTGACTAGTACAACAGTGTCAACTCCAGTATCAAGTACTGCATCATCAACACCAGTGTCTAGTACAACAGTGTCAACACCAGTATCAAGTACAGCATCGTCAACACCAGTGTCTAGTACTACAGTGTCAACACCAGTGTCCAGTACAGCAACATCAACACCAGTGTCTAGTACAGCAACATCAACACCAGTGTCCAGTACAGCATCGTCAACACCAGTATCAAGTACAGCATCGTCAACAACAGTATCTAGTACAACAGTGTCAACACCAATGTCTAGTACTACAGTGTCAACACCGATATCTAGTACAACAATGTCAACACCAGTGTCCAGTACAGCATCGTCAACACCGGTGTCTAGTACAACAGTGTCAACACCAGTATCTAGTACAACAGTGTCAACACCAGTATCTAGTACAACAGTGTCAACACCAGTATCTAGTACAACAGTGTCAACACCAGTATCAAGTACAACATCGTCAACACCAGTGTCTAGTACAACAGTGTCAACACCAGTGTCTAGTACAACAGTGTCAACACCAGTGTCTAGTACAGCATCGTCAACACCAGTGTCTAGTACAACAGTGTCAACACCAATGTCTAGTACAACACCATCAACACCAGTGTCTAGTACAAAAGTGTCACCACCAATGTCTAGTACAACAGTGTCAACACCGATATCTAGTACAGCAGCGTCAACACCAGTGTCCAGTACAGCATCATCAACACCAATGTCTAGTACAACAGCGTCATCACCAGTGTCTAGTACAACAGTGTCAACACCAGTGTCTAGTACAACATCATCAATACCAGTGTCTAGTACAACACCAATAACATCCACCACGACGTGGTCTTCTTCGGCGTCCAGTTCATCATTTACTTCCACGCAATCCTCTGCACAGACGTCCAGCGTAAGCACACCTCTAATAGCTGTACATAGTAATCCACCCGTATCAACAACTACTACGAGTCACAGTACTATATCGACAACGTCTTCACCCCAGTCTAGTACAACAGTGTCAACACCGATATCTAGTACAACAGCGTCATCTCCAGGGTCTAGTACAGCATCATCAACATCGGTGTTTAGTACAACAGTGTCAACACCAGTGTCTAGTACAACATCGTCAACACCAGTGTCTAGTACAACAGTGTCAACACCAGTATCTAGTACAACAGTTTCAACACCGGTGTCTAGTACAACAATGTCAACACCAGTGTCCAGTACAGCATCGTCAACACCAGTGTCTAGTACAACAGTGTCAACAACAGTGTCTAGTACAGCATCATCAACAGCAGTATCTAGTACAACAGCATCAACACCAGTGTCTAGTACAACAGTGTCAACACCAGTATCTACATCCACCAGTGTCACAGAACACCAGTGTCTAGTACAACAGTGTCGTCACCAACACCAGTATCTAGTACAGCATCGTCAACACCAGTGTCTAGTACAACAGTGTCAACACCAGTGTCTAGTACAACAGTTTCAACACCAGTGTCTAGTACAACAGTGTCAACACCAGTGTCTAGTACAAAAGTGTCACCACCAATGTCTAGTACAACAGTGTCAACACCGATATCTAGTACAGCAGCGTCAACACCAGTGTCCAGTACAGCATCATCAACACCAGGGTCTAGTACAGCATCGTCAACACCAGTGTCTAGTACAACATTGTCAACACCGGTGTCTAGTACAACAGTGTCAACAGCATCAACACCAGTGTCTAGTACAACACCGGTATCTAGTACAACAGTGTCAACACCAGTATCTAGTACAACAGTTTCAACACCAGTGTCTAGTACAACAGTGTCAACACCAGTATCTAGTACAACATTGTCAACACCAGTGTCTAGTACAACAGCGTCAACACCAGTGTCTAGTACAACAGTGTCAACACCAGTGTCTAGTACAGCATCGTCAACACCAGTGTCTAGTACAACAGCGACCACCCCAATGTCCACTACAACAGTCTCATCACCAGTATCTAGTACAGCATCGTCAACACCAGTGTCTAGTACGCCAGCATCAACACCAGTGTCTAGTACAACAACGGTATCTACTACAACACCAATAACATCCACCACCACGACATCTTCTTCGGCGTCCAGTTCATCATTTACTTCCACGCAATCCTCTGCCCAGACGTCCAGCGTCAGTACACCTTTAATAGCTGTACATAGTAACCCACTCGTATCAACAACTACTACGAGTCACAGTACTATATCGACAACGTCTTCACCCCAGTCTAGTACAACAGTGTCAACACCGATATCTAGTACAACAGCATCAACATCAGTGTCTAGTACAACAGTGTCAACACCAGTGTCTAGTACAACAGCATCAACACCAGTATCTAGTACAGCATCATCAACATCAGTGTCTAGTACAGCATCGTCAACACCAGTGTCTGGTACAACAGCGACCACCCTAGTGTCCAGTACAACAGTGTCAACACCAGTATCAAGTACTGCATCTTCAACACCTGTGTCTAGTACAACAGCGTCAACACCAGTGTCCAATACAGCAACATCAACACCAGTGTCTAGTACAACAGTGTCAACACCAGTGTCTAGTACAGCATCGTCAACAGCAGTGTCTGGTACAACAGCATCAACATCGGTATCTAGTACAACAGTGTCAACTCCAGTATCAAGTACACCAGTGACATCAACACCAGTGTCTAGTACAACAGTGTCAACACCAGTATCAAGTACAGCATCGTCAACACCAGTGTCTAGTACTACAGTGTCAACACCAGTGTCCAGTACAGCAACATCAACACCAGTGTCTAGTACAGCAACATCAACACCAGTGTCTAGTACAACAGTGTCAACACCAGTGTCTAGTAAAGCATCATCAACACCAGTGTCTAGTACAACACCAATAACATCCACCACGACGTGGTCTTCTTCGGCGTCCAGTTCATCAATTACTTCCACGCAATCCTCTGCGCAGACGTCCAGCGTAAGCACACCTTTAATAGCTGTACATAGTAATCCACCCGTATCAACAACTACTACGAGTCACAGTACTATATCGACTACGTCTTCACCCCAGTCTAGTACAACAGTGTCAACACCAGTATCTAGTACAGCATCGTCAACACCTGTATCTAGTACAACAGTGTCAACACCAGTATCTAGTACAACAGTGTCAACGCCAGTATCAAGTACTGCATCTTTAACACCAGTGTCTAGTACAACAATGTCAACACCAGTGTCTAGTACAGCATCGTCAACACCAGTGTCTAGTACAACAGTGTCAACACCAGTGTCTAGTACAACAATGTCAACACCTGTATCTAGTACAACAGTGTCAACACCAGTATCTAGTACAGCATCATCAACATCGGTGTCTAGTACAACAGTGTCAACACCAGTATCTAGTACAACAGTTTCAACACCGGTGTCTAGTACAACAATGTCAACACCAGTGTCCAGTACAGCATCGTCAACACCGGTGTCTAGTACAACAGTGTCAACAGCATCAACACCAGTGTCTAGTACAACAGTGTCAACACCAGTGTCTAGTACAGCATCGTCAACACCAGTGTCTAGTACAACAGTGTCAACACCAATGTCTAGTACAACACCATCAACACCAATGTCTAGTACAGCATCGTCAACACCAGTGTCTAGTACAACAGTGTCAATACCAGTATCAAGTACTGCATCATCAACACCAGTGTCTAGTACAACTGCCTCAACACCAGTGTCCAGTACAGCATCATCAACACCAGTGTCTAGTACAGCACAGTCAACACCAGTGTCTAGTACAACAGTGTCAACAACAGTGTCTAGTACAACATCATCAATACCAGTGTCTAGTACAACACCAATAACATCCACCACGACGTCGTCTTCTTCGGCGTCCAGTTCATCATTTACTTCCACGCAATCCTCTGCGCAGACGTCCAGCGTAAGCACACCTCTAATAGCTGTACATAGTAATCCACCCGTATCAACAACTACTACGAGTCACAGTACTATATCGACTACGTCTTCACCCCAGTCTAGTACAAAAGTGTCAACACCGATATCTAGTACAACAGCGTCATCTCCAGGCTCTAGTACTGCATCATCAACACCAGTGTCTAGTACAACAGTGTCAACACCAGTATCAAGTACTGCATCGTCAACACCAGTGTCTAGTACAACAGTGTCAACACCAGTGTCTAGTACAGCATCGTCAACACCAGTGTCTAGTACAGCATCGTCAACACCAGTGTCTAGTACAACAGTGTCAACACCAGTGTCTAGTACAACAGTGTCAACACCAGTGTCTAGTACAACAGTGTCAACACCAGTGTCTAGTACAGCATCGTCAACACCAGTGTCTAGTACAGCATCGTCAACACCAGTATCTAGTACAACAGTGTCAACACCAGTATCCAGTACAACAGTGTCAACACCAGTGTCTAGTACAACAGTGTCAACGCCAGTGTCTAGTACAGCATCGTCAACACCAGTGTCTAGTACAGCATCGTCAACACCAGTATCCAGTACAATAGTGTCAACACCAGTGTCTAGTACAGCATCGTCAACACCAGTGTCTAATACAGCATCGTCAACACCAGTGTCTAGTACAGCATCGTCAACACCAGTATCTAGTACAACAGTGTCAACACCAGTATCCAGTACAACAGTGTCAACACCAGTGTCTAGTACAACAGTGTCAACACCAGTGTCTAGTACAGCATCGTCAACACCAGTGTCTAATACAGCATCGTCAACACCAGTGTCTAGTACAGCACCGTCAACACCAGTATCTAGTACAACAGTGTCAACACCAGTATCCAGTATAACAGTGTCAACACCAATGTCTAGTACAACAGTGTCAACACCAGTGTCAAGTACAACACCAATAACATCCACTACGACAGGTCATCTTCAACACCAGTTCATCAATTACTTCAACACCAATCCTCTGCGCAGTACAGTCCAGCGTCAGCACACCTCTAATAGCTGTCTAACTACATCACCCGTCAACACCAGTGTCTATACAGCAACGTCAACACCAGTCTAGTACAAAAGTGTCATCACCAGTGTCTAGTACAACAGTGTCAACACCAGTGTCTAGTACAACAGTGTCAACACCAGTGTCTAGTACAACAGTGTCAACACCAGTGTCTAGTACTGCATCGTCAACACCAGTATCTAGTACAGCATCGTCAACACCAGTGTCTAGTACAACAGTGTCAACACCAGTGTCTAGTACAACAGTGTCAACACCAGTGTCTAGTACAACAGTGTCCACAACAGTGTCTAGTACAGCATCATCAACAGCAGTATCTAGTACAGCATCAATCACACACTACGACGTGTCTTCTTCGGTCCAGTTCATCAACACTTCCACGCAATCCTCTGCGCAGACGTCCAGCGTAAGCACACCTCTAATAGCTGTACAAACTAATCCACCCGTATCAACAACTACTACGAGTCACAGTACTATATCGACAACGTCTTCACCCCAGTCTAGTACAACAGTGTCAACACCGATATCTAGTACAACAGCGTCATCTCCAGGGTCTAGTACAACAGCATCCACACCAGTGTCTAGTACAACATCATCAACACCGGTGTCTAGTACAACAATGTCAACACCAGTGTCCAGTACAGCATCGTCAACACCGGTGTCTAGTACAACAGTGTCAACAGCGTCAACACCAGTATCCTTTACAACACCGGTATCTAGTACAACAGTGTCAACACCAGTATCTAGTACAACATCATCAACACCAATGTCTAGGACAGCATCATCAACACCAGCATCTAGTACAGCATCGTCAACACCAGTGTCTGGTACAACAGCATCAACATTGGTGTCTAGTACAACAGTGTCAACACCAGTATCAAGTACTACATCGTCAACACCAGTGTCTAGGACAGCATCATCAACACCAGCATCTAGTACAGCATCGTCAACACCAGTGTCTGGTACAACAGCATCAACATTGGTGTCTAGTACAACAGTGTCAACACCAGTATCAAGTACTACATCGTCAACACCAATGTCTAGTACAACACCGTCATCTCCAGTGTCTAATACAACAGTGTCAACACCAGTATCTAGTACAACAGCATCAAGTAAAATGTCAACTCCAAATGTAACGACGAAATCGATGAACCCGACGACGATTAATCCACTAAACATACAAACGTCAATAAAAACAACATCAATGAAGTTAACAACAATATATTTGACAAAGAAACCTAAGCTTACACCGCCACCACAAATCCCTGCATCAATTTTCAATCCCAAGGATCCTGTTGATTGTAAATTTGCACTTAGCAAATTCTCATGTTCGATGTCACTTGTGCGACTCCATTGTAAATATTCTTGCGGTAAGTGTAACATTTAGTTTAACAATCTACTGCAGATATGGTCAATGATTAATTTACTGTTAAGTAATATAGTAATATAGTAAGAAATATTTTTAACAGCGGAACAAGTTTAAGTACGATATCAATGAAAATATATCCCCATGAAAATTTCTGAATTGGCAGTAATTTATCAAGAAATGTACAAATATTTAAAGCAATTGACACAGATAGTTTTTATGAAACAACCAGTTAGCTCACAATTACTGAATGCTTCATTAGTCATAGCCGTATTCAGTAAAAATCAGTAACACTTTCTATTATTACTATGTCTGACAAAGAAGCAAAATAACGAATCACAATTACATTCACTGATATTTGGATTTTCTTTTCCTTATTTGTACACTTTCCTTTGACCCTCTGTTAATGTACCTATCATGCTTTTGAATAATACAGTATATCTTATTGTATTTTTATATTATGGATGAAGATTCACCACAAAATTATTCAAATTAGGCCTTTATTCAACGATTAACTATTAACACTATTTACTTATTGGTTGTGTGAAAAATAGGACACAGCCATGTTTGGAACATCAGCCGAAAACAGCTGGTATAATCATGAAAGACAAATGAATAACACCTTCCAATACAAGTTGCATAGGGTACAATAGAGCCGAAAACAATCGAGAAAAAATATGAGCCATCTGACGTCGTACCTCTTGGACTCATCAGTAACGCTAAGGGTTTAAACTGCATTTCATTTGTGTTAATTGCCATTTGTTTTATCCAGCCGGACGATTCTCCACCACAACCAGACCTACAAGTAAACTTCCTGTCACAAGTCCTTCAGTATTAGTGGCCCTTACGACAAAGAAACCTGTGCCAACAACAGGACCTCTATCCTCTAGTACACCTGCACGAACATCAGCGGCAACTACGTCAATAACAACGCAATATTTGACCAAAGTTCCGAAAATTACCCCGCCTCCTCGAATACCAGCTTCCAATTACGACACAAGAGATCCAGTTGACTGCAAATTTTCCCTGAACACCTTCAGTTGTTCTATATACGTGGTTCGTCTGCACTGTAAATATTCCTGTTGTAAGTATACATCCAATTAATGTCAATTGAAATTGTATGTTTTTGTTCATTTATTTTGGCTATTTTCCATTAATGCTACACTCTCTGTAGTTCTCAAATCGGTGTACGGTGCGAATGATGATTGACTACCATTTTGGCATGTCCAACAACTCTGTGGATGGTTAAGAGTTTTTGATACCATGAATCGATTTTGTTGTGATTCTGATCATAGTTTGTAATATTAGTGGGTATATAATTTCGCTATGTTTGAATATTTGAGTTCAATCGATACTACTTCTGGGTAAAACTTGGAAAATTATGTTATTTAGCTGCATACACTGATTATAATTTATAGCCATATGGAAAAACTGGAACAGTCATGGAAGACTAGACCTTGCAAAATTTAACACCGTTGGAAAATAATTCAATGCATGCTGGAAAATAATATGATGCAAATTATCACAAATAATTTTGCATCAAAAACTTATTAAAAGGAAAACACATTTTTAAAAACTTGACTTTAATAAAAGTTACGTGCATGTCGTTAAAGTATTGATATCATTTAAATTATCAATATTTCAGCGAAAACAACGATTGCATCTAATACAGTGCCTCAGCCCACAGCACGTAAGTATATTTTGTTTCCGAGCATATTTACCCCTAGTTTTTTTACCTAAAGTATTATTGTAATTTGTGTTACGATCCGCCCTTATTATTTTGTACAATTATTTAGTGATTATATGTATTGATCGTAATTTTCATTTTTTTTTCCAGATGTACCTGTTGGATGATAATTCTATTCGTATCACCTGCTAATGAATTCAAAACTTCTCTGCATAATTATATAATTAATTGTAAATAATGACATTATATTCATATAAAATAATATATTGATCTTCTCATTTTTGTTTGTATTTGTTAAAAGAGTTGTAACACATTATTTCCCTTTGTATTAAATAAATATACCTAGGAAACAGTTTTGCGTGTTACCTCATATAATACAGCATATTTTACGATCAGAATTAAATTTCAAAATTACGTTACACATTCGCAATAAGACGTCACAATTGAGAACAGAAAGAGAGTCGAAGGGTAAAATGGATTCTTTTCTGTAAAATTTCACAAAAAATTGATCTATGTGATGGAAGAATATAAGATTTAGAAAAAAAAATCCGAAGTTATATTTTGCCGAGTTGTGAAACCTGTCATGTAATGTAATGATATTTATTTGGCAAGTGTTGAGAGTAAGAACATGCATGAGGACTGATATAAACTATGAGGATTATATCGAAAGTAGGGTAAAGAAAGACAAAACCCTTTGACAAGTTACGTTTGCATATCTGTCCCGAGCCAAACTGCATATATTTCATTACACCTAGGGTTGTATATGTACCATGAATTATGTACATCCTTGGATGTTTCTTTAAAATCAGACTTTGTTTACCAAGCGCTATCATTGCGCTGAATTATACATGACGACGCAAGCTATAATAATTAATCCGCGTTAAAATAAAGGTCCAAGCTTCAAAGGATATAACAGCAGTTTTATGAATTTTCAAAAAAAAATATTGTTACACCGATTTAAGTCACCAAGTTTAAAGTAGATCATAAGGTTAGTATGGGGATTGATATGCGTGTGCTTAATTACAGGTGCTTTTCCTCAATGCCTTACAGTGAAAGCAGATGTTACAAGTTCGTCAAATCGAACTAAACCTGCTAAGGCAAAACAATGCTGTATTTCTTTTAGAAATGACAGTATATCTACGTAAAATCATATTGTTTTCATTAAACATCTTTCTGATAAAGAAACAAATTAGGTACGAACTGTTTAACACTGTGTAGGACACGAGATAATAGTAACGACTATTTTATCAAATTAACGTTCCTTTCCAAAAACAAAGAAACAATGAAAAAATAAATAAAAAAAAATAAGAAAGAATGAAAGAGAAAATTATCACCAAGCAACAAATCATCTACAATATTGCAATCTTTGAGATAGTAAATAGTAAATCAAACGAAACAAAACATCGTTTTTGTCAAAATAAAACATTTTTTTATTTGAAGTGTCAGTTGTTTCATACAATGTATGTTTATTATATATCTAACTAGCCTGGTGTTGACATGCAAACAAGCTTATCACTGAATATCTGTTCAGTGTAACAAGTACGATATGACATAAGAAAAATATACTGAATTACATATATGATTGTAAGTGGTGCTATTATGTCAATCGCTACGTTGCCAAAACATGCAAATTAACTGTTCTATATGATCTCGAACGAGCTGAAAAAACACGCAATAACATTTACCTTCAGATTGAATGAGACTTAATTTGTGAAAATAGACATGAACATATATAGCTTACAAGGTCCATAAATAATACTGTACAAATTATAGCCCCTTATCTATAATCATTATTTCAAACAGTAAAAATGAGTTTGAGTTTGAATTTTTGATTTCTTGTTGTTATTTGCTTTAGCCTAATTGAATCTTCTATGCCTTGTTTTCCGGGAAACGGCACACTGATTTGATTATGTTGTATAAAACAGTCCTTTTTCCGATATTAATTATTAACAAGGCCAACTTCACTTTTGGGTGGCAATTTATTACAAGCTACATGAAAAAAAACTAGTGAAATTTAGGGTTTCGACTTTTTCCTATTCATTGATAGTAACATGCCCACTTAAAGCCTTGTTACCTTACGTCCTGCTTCATTGGTCAAACTACTGTGATGATATTTATGGCCTACGGTTGTATGGTACAGTGTTAGAAGAAATTCTACGAAGCAATGTGGTTCCAATGCTACATTCCATTTCTATCCTAAATGAACAAAGAAAACAAACAAGGAACGAAAAAATGATAAAGGTAAATTACATCGTACAATCAAGTGATGAAACGTGTTGGTATTCAAATAAACGAGGAAATTTGCAAAACTCAGTGAAACGCCTACGTTCAATGCTGTGAATAAGTGTTCATATGCGATATTTATCTAGAGCTGGTAACAGCAGGAACAGTAAACCTAACTGTAAAATACAACCGAAACAAATTGTAGTGCTGTTTCATCATAAAGTTAGTCGCTTTTTGTTGAAATATGAAATAGCCTTCCAGCTGATGTTGATTACAATATCCGTAAGTGCTAACGTGTGTTTGTAAAGCGCTCCTGTATTATTGATCATAGCACATAGTTACATTCAAACCTATTCAATATCTCTTTTTATTGATGAACAGGGACGATGAAGTTGGCGCACCAGCTGAGTCATCATTCTGAATCAATTTTAACATCCAATAATGTGTGAATGGTTGAAATATCAATTGTCCCTCGTTTTACTTACAGTAGAGTAGTTTTACACGGGAGTAAAATGTGTCCTGTTGATAAAACAATTGACTTCAAACTTTCGTCCATTCACAAAATAATGATTTGTCGTCTAGATTCGGTCATTTGCACTCTGTTCTTGAAAATGGAAGCAGATGTTTGAATTCAAGATAGATAACTTCTCAAACTATATTATACCAAATTGACGGATTTCATAAAGAATATCGCGTTTTCTTGTCCACATTTTGTAATAAAAATGCATGATACAAAAGCATACTTAAGTCACGAAAACAGTCGGTCCTATGCTTTATGTTTTTGTTTAAGGGTATAGATGTCTGATATTACGGCCTCCTGGTCTTACAGCAGACGAGGACTATGGTGTGTCAGACAAGTCATATGTCTAAACTGATCTTCATGCTACATGTATATTTCCAGTCGAACTATTCCACGTTATATTATACAAGCACATCACGATAGTATCCAGAAACGTTATAGAATCAGATCCAAGGTGTCTGTTGACATTCAGGTCATACGAATCAATAAAGATAACATCAAACTCCACTCGATAACAATAATACAAATATCATTACGTTACGGAATTAACGTGCCGCAAATGAAACCAAACAGTTAGGTTAAAATTCAACAGTTTGATAACAGCAAATAAATTCTATGCAGTAAAGTTACAAATATTGTGATGGTGTACAGAGCTAACTACTAATTATCAAAAGTAAGAACTTATCTTTTCGTGGAAGTCCTCCAAATCCAGAAGAATTCACAATAGATTGTCCAGAAAACAGGGTAACCGAAGAACAATCTGGGTATATATAAGTGCAAGTCCACAAGACACTATCACTAAATCACGGTAAAAGTCCATACTTCACAGACTGAAGTCTCAAAGTAAGCTCACTCAAGGCCTCCTTAGGCTCAGTTCTATCATGTTTATATACAATGAAGTTTTCTAGAAAGTTCTTGTCTAGATGATTCTAGACTAGCAGGTACCTACACCCAGGTAATTCTAATAACCGAACTTTTTAAAAATCTTGATCAATCTACAAAAAACAACGGAACAAATAAGATTTAGAAGACCGCAGAACATTTTATCAGCCTGCAAACTTTCCATTCATCCAGTTTTCTAATCTGTAAACACAGGTCATTCTAGTAACCGAGCTTTCTAGAATATTTCGTGCTTTTAATGTACATGTTTGGTGTTATTATATCATTGATACAATCAATAAATATCTTGTTGACAAGAAAACATTATTGTATCTATCCAGGAGTCTAAATCACGCGAACGTTTGTATGAAATCATTTCGGAAAAATGGTCAATGGATACTAGAAATGATATATGATATTTCGTACCTGTATTACATGATTTTAAGCCATACAGCCAGGGTCATATGAGGACAGATGTCAACAGTGACAGAAATAGTGGATAAGAAAGCACAGAAAGAAAGAGGAAAGAACGAGATTAAGATCACAAAGAGGTTGCAGATCCATTTTGACCTTTTCAATGTCCCTTTGGAAGCAGAAAACTGTAGACACAAGCAGCGGAATAGTTCATTGGGCTCTTTGGTATCCCATACAGGCAAGACATTGGAGAAGCCACTCCCGATGAGTAAGGTGTCCCTAACAACTTATTGCCCTCGTCGTCTTTATTAAAACGTTCGTGCTTGCCTAATATCACAATTAGGAAAATCGTGTCTTCCTGTATACGGTTCCAGGCTTGGTTGGCAATGGGGCAGGCCGTCGCCTTTCGAAAGGATGAAATGCTTGAAAGAAGACAGATATTTTTACTCATGACATCTAGTGATTACAAAAATATTTTCAGCGAATATTGTCAATTTTCTACGACTGGAACATCAAAAACTTGCGCTTATAATTTATCTTAAACAATATCTATTTAAAGGTAAAATTATTCCAGAAATTACGAAAACAAATGATATTACTAGTTTCAGATCGTTATTATTTTAAGCTCCGGAAATCCCTTAATAACATGACACAGCGGAAGTCATTAATAACAAAGATAACTTTGATTGTATCTTTCGTCCAATCGATCAATGAGTTTTACAATGGTCGGCAGACAGAAGGTAAACAATTACTTCTACCGAAAGACCAAACAAACGATAAAGGCTCTGATGAAACAATCGTGTCGCGTTGTGAAAAGAATATTTACGCAAACCTTTCGGAAGTAAAGTTTTAAAATATTTAATACATGAAGAAATAAACAAATTTCTGATATAATAAATATTTTAATGCGTGCTTTGTTGCCGATTATCAACAATCTAAGCAATATCACAGATGGTTATGTGTATATTATAGTTAAAGTCAACAAAGAGCTGTCAGACAGCCGGATATTGTAACAGAGATAAAACATTGTTGAAGTTTATTTTTTAAAATCAAGATTATTCCTTTAATATATAACGAGTTCTGACTTTGGAAGAGAAGCATATGGTTTGAAAGAATATGAACAAGATCAAA